GTTATTAATACTTTAGTTGGTGGACCATTGTGTAGATGGGGGTGTTACTAATATTTTAGTTGGTGGACCATTGTGTAGATGGGGGTGTTACTAATACTTTAGTTGGTGGACCGTTGTGTAGATGGGGGTGTTACTAATACTTTAGTTGGTGGACCATTGTGAGAGTCTTGGAGTGGGGACCAGGCAGTCTTCACTGTGTTTGGAGGGGACAGATAATTGTGATCATGTCTGATTCATTGCACCTTCTGCGTCAACAATCAATTAGCATTTATTGAGCACCTGTGAAGGGCCTGAGTTATACCAGACACTGTAGAGGATACAACATAGTCCAAGGGACGGCCCTTGCCTTTACCAACTTTTCAATCCATACGGATATGAAGTATATATACATGAAATCATTACGTGACCTTATATATTATGCTAAAAGGGTGATATCAACGAGATAAGGTGTTCAAAGGAGAGAAAGAGAAATTGTGGGTTTGAGTGGCCTCTGGCCTCTCCATAGAGGAGGAAGATGGGGGGGGGGACTTCAGGTAGAGACTGAAGAATGAATGGGGTTTGGGTAAATAGAGATGAGAGATGGGCATTCAGGAAAGGGAGTGAGTGAAAGTATCCCAACCTGGCTGGGTGTCAGGCTTGAGGAAGATGAATAGCTGATGATAAGGCTGGTCTGAAGGAGGTTGGGGCCAGATTGTAGATGGTGTGTGTGGAGCCTATAATTCTCATGTGCTGGCTCCATGGGATCACCCAGAGAGAGGGTGAGAATCTTTCAGTTTTAGTCTCTCCCATGTCATGATTGCATTATATAAAATTTATATTGTAGCTGTATGTGTATTTACCTTATCTCTATTACTAGATTATGAACTCCCTGAGGTCAGAGGCTATGTTTTGATTTATCTTCCATGGCTTATACCAGTGCTTTGTATATTTTTTTTGGGGGGGACAGGGAATTAGACCCAAGATTTCATTGATATAAGGAATTCCCCTTTTACCAAAGCAGATTAGTCCTTGCTTTGCAATTTATAGTCCCAGACAGTTGCTTAGGGGACTGGGAGGCTAATAGCTAGCTAACATTTAGTATTGAGTTTTAAAGTTTGCTGAGGGCTAGAACTAGGGGAAGTCAAGTGACTAGCCCAGGGTCACAAAGCCCATCTATATTGAAGATAGACCTTAAACTCAGACCTTCCTGGTTCCACGGCCAGCACTTTCTCTGCTGACTTCCAGTGGAATGGAATTAAAAAAGGGTCAGATGAATGGGTCTGTATGACCTGGGACAAGTCATTGTCCCCATGTCCTAGGCAGTTTTCTAAGATTATTCAGTAAAGCCTTTATTAAACACTTAGTATGCCCCAGGCACTATGCTAACCTCAGAAAAAGTGGTAATCTGCATAGGTAGAGGGGTTTTCTCATTTGGGAGTTCTTTCCTAACACCAGTGAAGTCCTTGTGTATCTAGGGAAGGCTGAGAAATTGTATCCCTTGTGTGTTACTTTGCAGTGCAGGTTTGGTGACTTTACAGTAACACATGATTTGACTTTTTTTTTTCCCTCTGTAAGAAATGGGATTTCATCAATATGGAGAATCCCATATGTGAAAACTCCCTCCCACTAGGACAGATGATCAATTTCTTTGTAATTTATTGAGAAAGTGGCCTGGGGCACTGATAAGTTAAATCCTTTGTCCTTGAGCATATAGCTAGTATTAAGAAATCCAGGACTTGAACCCAGGTCTTTCTGGACTCCTGGGTCAGCCCTCTGTCCACTAAGCCATGCTGCCTCTTCTGACCTGACTTATTATACCTGTGGAGGGCAGAGTTTTCTGGCATTAAAAATTCATACATTTATGAAAAGTCATACTGTAGAAGGTGTCACCCATTGTTTCCCCCCACTACATATCCACTTCTCCCATTTGCATTCTAAGTGGCTGACTCCTTTTGCCTTCCCCTAGTCTGGGTTCCATTCCTTCTATTTTGCTGTGGTCAGACAATATTTTGTGGAAGAAGAGAGATTTGATCAAACAATCATCGATTTAGAGGGGGAGGGGACCTTAGAGGACATCTGGTTCAACCCCCTCATTTTACAGACGAGTAACCTAGTGGTTAATGACTTGTCCAAAGTCATACAGATAGGAAATAGTAGAGTTGGGATCTGAACCCAGGATCTCTGACTGCAGATCCAGTAGGTTTTCCCACTATGCCAAATTGCCTCAGCTGGATCTGGACCCTGGAGGAAGGGTAGGCTTTGGATTGTTAGAAAGGCAGTGGGGGGAAAAGGTATTTCCTCATGGGCAATAGATTTCGTAAGGTTAGGAATGCATAAAGTATGAGTGTGGTTGGGTTGGAGTGTAGGATATGATAAGACGGGGAAGGGAGGCTGGGGACACATTGTACAGGGCCTTTTGTACCAGGCTGAGGAGTCTGTACAAGGTTAATTCCTGGTTGGGATCAAGTGAATAATTCTGTCACTGAATCATTAATGCTCTTGACCTCCCTCCCACATCTACCCCACTCCACCCCTCAAACCTCTAGGGTCTCCATTCTGAATCTGGGACAAGGGCTCCAGCCACCTCCTTCTCTTGTGTTTTCCTCTGGCCAAAGGGAAATTCCTTGGGTGGGGGCAGGGATCACTCTAGAGTATGGGAGTTACAGCACTTCCTTCCTGAAGAGTGTCCTCCAGGCCAGGCCAGGCCAGCCTAGCCCAGCCCAGCCCAGCCCAGCCCCTCCTGTCTTTGGCGCTCTTTCCTTTCTGGTAGCTCTTTCTCAGATGGGTAGGGCTAGGGGAAAGACAGAGCCAGTAAGAACAGACCTCCTTGGGTCCCATCCAGGATGATCAGATGCAATTAGTCTGGGGATTCGAGGAATTCTGGAAACACCGGCCTTGGGCAGACCTTTCAGAGGTTACAGAATCACAGAACCTCAGAGATGGAAGGGGCCTCAGAGGTCATCTAATTCAAACTGTGTCCAGCTCAACCACAGCCTTGGCATCCATCTTTCGTTTGAAGACTTTCAGTGACAGGTCTCTGCCTCTCATCCTTTTGAGGCAAGCATTCTACTTTTGGACAATTCTCCTTGTTAGGTGAGATTACATACTGGGCTCCTTATTATATTACAAGTGAGCTCCTTATAGAATGTAAACTCCTGGAGGGTAAGGATGGTTCCATTTTTTTTTTCTTTGTATCACCAGTTCCTCAAACTTAATGCTAGTTAGTCAATCCAGTAGGAAGTTATTCTTTGTATTGAGGTGAAATCTGCCTCTTGGAAACTCTCCCTCCTTATCCTCTCTACTACTGCTCCTGAGTCTGGCTTATACAGCCCAGTAAAACAAGTATAATCCCTCTTCTACTTAACAGCCCTTCAGATGCTTGATAGCAGCTCTCTCTCCTCTTCAAAGCCCAGCTCAAGCCCTGTTTCCTTCTGAAAGTCTTATGCACTGCCCACTGACCCATAGAGATCTTTTCCTCCTCTGAACTTCCAGCCCTGATCTACTGAATCCTCCATTTTATTCTGTAAACCTGTAGGTCTCCATGTGTAAGTACTAGCTGGATCAGGAGTTCCTTGAGGGAAAGGTTTGGGTTCCATCTCTGTCTCTCTCAGACCACCAGCTTCTTAAGGGCAGAGCTTGGGTCTTTCCTCTTCTACTGCACAGACGTCAGAATTCTGAGCAGCCTGGCTCTTCCCAACCCCACCAAAGCATCCTAGGTGAAGACGAGTGTTTCTCACTGCATTCACATCCTCCAGGAATTGGCTTTAATAGCTTTTTTTAGTTATTGGCTAGCCGGCTAAATACTGTTGGTCAGGAAGTTCTGTGTTGTAGCTCACCTAAATTCTTCCTACACTGGTGAACTGAAGAGCTTGCCACTATTCTTTCTATACTAATCATCTACTGACCAAAGAAGGGGTCTCTTTTCAGGACCCTACTCGGTCTTATCTGACTAATGGATCCACGTTATTTTTCTCACTTGTTCTTAAGATCATAGGTTTGGAGTTGAAACTGTCAAATCTTTTGATCCTGTTTTCCCCCTCCCAAGAAAGTCTTTCCGTCCATTCCTCATATTCTACTGCTCTCAGGGCAGTAGCATCCTGAGCCAGAACTCAGAACTCTAGACTAAGCTAGAAGTATGTAATAGGATTAGAAAGCATTGGATTTAGGGTCAGAAACCAGTTGGCCATGTGGCTTCAGGCAAGTCCAAAGTCTCTGTTCATCTGTAAAAGAAAAACATTGAACTAGATAGGTGATCTCTAAGGTCCTTTGCAGCTCGAATATTTTACGATTCTGGGTCTGAGCATGCAGATTGCCCTGGTTAAATCAAGATAAATCATTCAGAGCTCTCTTCTTCTCCCCACCCTCACTTGCTCTTGCCTTGTTGAAATATCTCAACCTGGCTGAGAATCCTTGGCTTCTGGAATGGACCAGCTTGACCTCTGGAAGAAGCTGAAAGCCATGTGTAACGAATAAAGTCATGCCCTGGAGAATCCACCTTGGCCAAACACTGCCTGTGGTGGGAGCCAGAGATGAGAGCCTCCTCCTGGCTTGAAATTGCATGTCCTGTAACTTCATGCCTATGGCATACCTCTCTTATGTAATGACTTCCCGTCCCATAGGTAGCTCTCAAAACTTTCCTCAACCACACATGGTACACATCCCATTTATAGCCCATTTCTTTAGGCTCTAGAGCCCCAATGGTTGTTGCTTTAAAAAAAACCACCAAACTTTAGATGATTGAACATGATTTGAATGGGAGTAAAGGGTGCTGGTGTTTAAGAGTAATCTATAAGAATTTAGGGAAAGAATCCTCTTGGGGAAAGGGATAACTCAAGTCACAATCTAGGCATATAGGCAGGATGCCAAGCCAGGTCGAACCAGGTTTCACTGGCTACTAAATCCTAGGGTCTAGGGAGAAAGCTCAGTGGAGGGTCACTAATACTGGTCCAAAGCAGGGAAGTCAACACAGAGCGGGAAAGAGCTTGGGTGGATATAATGTGCATTAAAGTTTACAAGGCACTTTACGGAAAACATTATCTCATTTGATTCTTACAGCAGCCCACTTTACAGATCAGGAAATTAAAGTTCAGAGAAAATGAGATGGTTGAAATAACCAAGAACCACGATTTATTTCAACTCTAAGTTCCTCAATCCTCTAATTCTATGGTGTTCAATGAAATCATAAGTAATGGCCTGATTTCTAGCTCTGGAACCACAATCAAATCACTAACTGCCATTGCTCCTGGAAAGGGTATGGCCAGTCTTCTATCCTAGGCTCCATTTACCATCCGTATGACTTTGTAGACCAAAATATCCATCCCTGGTCACCAATCTCAAATCTATAATGTTTCTTCTATTTGAATATAAGCTCCTCAAAGACCAGGACTGGTGCTTTTTTTTTTATTTGCGTCCCTAGTGCTTAGCTTACAAGTGCTTGATAAATTCTTTTTCATTCATTCATGACAGATTCTGGTCTCTACCTTTGGATATAATGTAATGTGTCAGGACCCAAGTATCTCTTTCCTACTGGGAGGGACCATAGTCATGTTCTAGCTTCTCCAAATGTAAAATGAAATTGATAACATAGGCATGGCATGTTATGCCATTACAGCTTTCTTTCACATAGTTTTACTTTTTAAGGTGACATTAGCATGATAACTATGCAGTCTCCTCACTCTACTCCATCAGTTATTGCCATTGATTTGGACCATTATCAACTCCTCTCTTCTCCCACCCCACAGTAACATGGTTTTTTTCCTTATTGTCCAAAGTATTTTTTATAGATATAAAATTATGGTACTTGGTCTTGACCCTAGTCTGTGACATAGAAGTTTGGCTACACTAGGCTACGTTAGGTTCAGTGAAACCCTTTCTCCCTGGATGTGATCCCCTAGTGAAGACCCCCGAAACTGTGACATGACCCATCTGTTATTCTCCAGTTTTGAACTAAGAAAAGAGTTTAAATTCCATCAGCAGATAGAGGTTAATAGCATCTGACTAGGTCTCAGCAGACTCAGAGAAAGTTCTCTTTCCAGCTAACTAGATGCATGACCTTGGGCCCAATTTTTCACCTCTCTGAGCCCTTTCTTCTAGGAAATGAGATGTTAGATTAGATGATTCCCAAGGCGTTTTCCAGTGCTAACAGGTCATGCTTATGTTATCAACTTCATCAACTGGGGAAGCTGGAACATGACCATGGTCTTTCCAGTGGGAAAGGGATGCAGGGGTCCTGACTCACTCCATGATATCCAAAGGTAGAAACCAGAATCAGCTTCACTTGGTTGGAAGATACTTCTCAGTCTTGGCATGGAGGCTGGAGCTGAGTGTCTTACATAGTATGGTATATAAACATATTCACAGTAAATTCATTGCGTGTGATTGACTGTTCTACTCTGCATTCTTTGTCTCTTCTCTTTAGCACAACCGTGGGGAGTTTCCCATCAGCAGAAAGTAGTGGCCTAGGCCCCAGGATGCCCACCCAACCTGTGGCAGATGCTAGCTTCCACTCTGGCAGCCTAGGGCAACCTTCTTCTGCCCAGAGCAGCTACCAGAACATCTCCCCTGCCCTACCAGCTGCCACCAGTGGCCACCGGAGTCCTGACTACTTTTCTCCAGACAGCCGGCCTCAGTCTCAGTTCACCGTGGCTGGTGTGCACACCCTGCCTGGGAGCCCTCAGACCCTCCACCGGACGGTGGGGACCAACACTCCTCCTAGCCCAGGCTTTGGTCGGCGAGCAGTGAACCCTGGCATGGCGACCTCTTCGCTTGGTAGCCCTGGTCTGAGCCGCCGCCAGGTCTCAGGTCCCGTTGGTAACACAGTGGCTGGCCTCCATGGCAATGCCATTGCCAGCCCCCAGACCAGTGTGGCTGCCTCCCCGGGAAGTCCTAGCCTGGGCCGGCACCCCACTGGTGCTGTCCACAGCAATTCAGTCACCACTCCAGGAAGTCCCAGCCTCAGCCGCCATGTGGCAGGCTTGGGAGGGGCTGGGCCGGTGGTCCCGGGCAGCCCTAGCATGGACAGGCATGCAGCCTACGGTGGCTATTCCACCCCTGAGGACAGAAGGCCTACTCTGTCCCGGCAAAGCAGTGCCTCAGGCTACCAGGCTCCCTCCACACCTTCCTTCCCAGTGTCCCCAGCCTACTATCCAGGCATGAGCAGCCCAACGTCCTCGTCGCCCGATTCTGCGGCTTTCCGGCAAGGGAGCCCTACACCTGCCTTGCCTGAGAAGCGGAGGATGTCTGCAGGGGATCGGGCAGGCAGCCTCCCCAACTATGCCACTGTCAATGGAAAAGTGTCCTCGTCCCCTGTGTCCAGCGGCATGTCTAGTCCCAGCGGCGGTAGCATGGTCTCCTTCTCCCACACCCTTCCTGACTTTTCCAAGTTCTCCATGCCAGGTGGGTACCCTGAACCCTGAGCTCAGACACCCTAAGTATACCGTATCTGCTTTGACCTTTGCCTCTGAATTTCTGCTTCCAAACTGACCGAGTTTGAAAGTGACCGAAGCTAGGCTTCTAGAGACTGGCATTCAAATCTTGGCCTTGGCTCTGACTTCCTATGTGAGCTTGAGAAAGTTACCTAACTTTTGTAGGCCTTGGCATCATAATCTGTACAATGAAGAGAATGTTACCTTCCTTCCTTACCTCAGAATTGTTGAGCAATTGGACAGGGGAAGGATTTTGGAACCAAAAGTACTATTTTAAGTGTGAGGTATTATTATGACAACCATATTATTTTGATTGTTGAGATTTAATGCTATTTTGCAAGTAATAGCCTCCATCCTACTAAGAGGACGTCCTCTAAACTCAGTAACCCAGACTTGCATAGATCTAGAGCCCAACAGCCAATCTTAGAGCCCACTATATGGACACCTGGATCTAGGCCTTCTAGTCCCTGCCTTTCCCTCCTGTCTGGGCTTCATCACCAGTAGTAACTCTAGGTCTCTGCTGTTCTCTCCTTTCCCAGGAGTGACATTTGGTTCTCAGTCCCTCTCTCTCCTTGGGAGTATGTGAAGCTTCTGGGGGTCAGGACACTTCCTGTTTCCCACTATCTTACCCTGCTTAAAATAGCTATTGGAATCAACACAGGAAGGCAGATGCAGTTGTGGTCTCTCCTGGCAGCTCATTAGATAGAAACCACAGCAGGGGGTGTTTAGGGGCTTCAAAGCTGCGAGAAGGATGGCTTAGAACATTTCCAGATGCTCCTGGTCTTCTGATACTCTGAGTCCCAGAGGTCTTTTTCAGTGACTAGCTGTCAGGGAAGGAAAATTGACACCTCCCCATCTCTCTTTGAAAAGTGGGTTTCTGCCCTCTCAGAACAAGTGACTTGAAATTATAGCAGGAACTGAGACTGGTTGGCGTTTCAGGAGGAAGGCTCGAGATGGTTTCATCCTGAACCCTTATAGCCTAACAGGATTCCAAGCATGGGCGTCTTCCAATACTGTGACCTTTCTCTGAAGGATGGTAGAAGCAGAAAGATATCTTTCTTAGTCTTGTGGGTTCCCAAGAACCTTGAGATCAGGGTGTGCAAAGGGGAAGAATGATTTAATAATAATAATAATAATAATGATAATAATGATAATAACAGTTAGCATTTATATAATGCCTTAAGGTTTGCAAACAACCCTGGGAGGTAGTATTATCCCCTTTTTCAAGATCACACAAACTAGCAAGCGTCAAAGAATGGATTCAGATTCAGGTCTTTCTAACTCCAGGTCCATCGCTCTATTCACTGTATCACATAGCTGCCCCTTATATGAATATGCATACACATACATATATATGCACATAATATACACGTACATTTATACATACAAATATCTATCCATATCTGTGTGTAGGGGGAATGAGTAGGGAGCAAGTAGGTATATACATATATACAGATGCATCTATATATCTATACCTACACATATACCCATATCTATCTGTTTCTATCCTGTAATATTTATAAAGATGATTGTTACAGAATGGTCACTGGGATCTCTTTTTAAAGAAGTAAGTACCTGGGGCAGTAGGTGGTGCAGTGGATAGAGCACTGGCCCTAGCGTCAGGAGGACCTAAGTTCAAATACAGCCTCAGACACTTGACACTAGCTGTGTGACCCTGGGAAGGTCACTTAACCCCCCCCCCCAATGGCCCCCCCCCCCCAAAAAAAGGAAGTAAGTACCTTTCACAGGAATATGTATATGCCTGTGTATATGTATATGTGGGAAGAGTAGGGAGAAAGTAGGCATATATACATATATAATATTTTAAGTAATATATTCCAATACATATCTATGCCTACCTGCTCCCTGGTCTTTCCCTATACACACACACTCACACACACACACACACACACACACACACACAGACACACACACACACACATATATTTAATATAGATCTCATGGAGGAAGTTGGGTTTGAAGTTTGATCTCAATAATAGATATATTTTATATATACATACATATACATACATATATAATGTATATATGTATATGTGTATGTATACACACACACACACACATATATATGCCTTATATAACATCAACAGAAGGTTAGAGTTGGAAGAGACCTTGGAGGCCATTCTGTCCTATACCCAGACTGGAAGGGGACAGGATGGTATAGTTGAACAAGTGTTGGATTAGGAACTGGGAGACCTGAATTCTAGTTCTCCCTCTCTCTTACTAATCATGTAACCACATGCAAATCACTTCCTATCTCTGAGCCTCAGTTTCTTTTGTCTTAAAAGTAAAGGAGTTGGCCTAGGTGACCGTTAATGTCCCTTTCAACTTTGACTTTCCAAGAAAAATTATATGATGGACACACAGGGAACCTCTGGATAGCTGCCTGGGAATGTGACACATGACACAAAATGCCACATTCCCAGTTGATCTCCTCCAGATGCCAACTTAGTCACTCATCTATTTGCCCAAGTCCAGTAGTGATCTATGTTCTCAAGGTGATGTGCCATAATGATTTCTATTCATGTGGCCTCTGGCAGGGTGTCCTCAGGTTGGGGAGGGAGGAGGGAGCAGGTAGAAAAAGGATTTTGGAAAGGTTTGATTGTTTTTTTTTTTTAAATTTTTTTTTCATTTTGATGAGGCAGTTGGGGTTAAGTGACTTGTCCAGGGTCACACAGCTAGTAAGTGTAAAGTGTCTGAGGTCAGATTTGAATCCAGGTCTTCCTGATTCCAAGGCCAGAGCTCTATTCACTGCGCCACCTAGCTGCCCTATTTTGATTGTTTTTGCTTTCATTTTTAAGGCTATGTGAATTGATCATGATGAAAAAGATTGGAAAAATAATGACATTTGATGAATGAGGGCAAGGAGCTGGAGTGATTTAGTTGGAAGAAGAAAAATCTGAAGAAAGGGGTCAGGAATGACCTTTAAACTTAAAAGAGACTGTTGGACAGAGATCAGAGTGATAAAGCTGCTATGGTGAGAATTTAGTTTTCAAGGATGAATTTTGAGAGAAGGGTGTGTGCCCTCTGAGGAGGGCTTTTCAAACAGGAAAGAATTCTGTGTATCTGAGGTGGTTTAGGCAGAACTCCTGCTTGGAGGCAGGGGGATGGATTAGATGGCCTTTTAGAGGTCCCATCAGTGCCATGATGATGGTATTTGATGCTCAATGTTCCTTTTCTCTCTTTCCTTCCTACAGACAACAGTCCTGAGACACGGGCTAATGTTAAGTTTGTCCAGGACACATCCAAGTATTGGTACAAACCCGAGATCTCCAGGGAGCAGGGTGAGTCCTGGTGAAATGGACCATGGAGGATGATGCTCCATGTAAACTTTTCACCTGTTACCTCTGTAAAGATGATTGTTTTAGAACCTTCTCCTGCACCTCTTCCTAAAGAAACAAGACAGACACGTGGTCATGGCTCCTCACAGTCATCGTGGGCCCCGGGGACGAAGTTGGGTTTGAAGTTTGACCTCAATACGGATTTATTGACAGTGGTACTAAGATACTAGAGCAGATGGTTAGGGAATCTCCTTCTATGACTCAGCCAATGAGCATTTATTAAGTGCTCACTATGTGCCAGGCACTATGTTAAGCCCTCAAAATAGAAACAAAAGGCAGAAACAGCCCCTGCCTTCAAGAAACTTCCATTCTAATAGGGGAGACTTGTCAATGAGTAGATACACAAAAGGCACATATAGAGTAGATAGAAGGGAAGGGAGTGCTAATTGAGCTGTTTTAATTAAAGGAATTTAAATTAAATTAATTAATTAAAAGAAATTAAGGAAGCCAGGGATCCCTATTGCCTCCTGGACCAAAAGCAAAATCCTCTGTTTGGCCTATAAAGTCCTCCATAATGTAGCCTTTTCCTACATTTCCAGTCTTCTTATACCTTCTACCCCCAATACTCTTCCATCCAGTGATACTGGTCTTCTTGCTATTTGTACCTCGAACATGACCCTCTATCTCCTGAGTCCAAGCATTTTCATTGGCTGTTATCATACTTGGAACTTGCTCCCTCCTCAACTCTGCCTCCTGGCTTCCCTCAAGGCTCACTTAGGATCCCATCTTCTGGAAGAAACTTCTCCCAATTCTCCTAATGCTCTTGCCTTCTCATTGTTGATTATCTCCAGTTTATCCTGTCTGTGTCTTATTTATACCTGTGTCTTATCTCCCCCATTAGACTGCGAGGTCCTTGAGGACAGGGATTGTCTTTTGCCTTTCTTTATATCCTTACATTTAGCACAGTGCCTGGCACATAGTAGGAGCTTAGTAAATGCTAGTTGACTGGCTGACCAATGAAATCTTAGAGATAGAGATGAGTAGGGAGAGTGTCCTAGGCGCAGGGGAGAGCCAGTAAAAAGACAGGAACATGGGAGATGGAGAATTACGTGTGGGTGATAGTAAGTAAACCTGCATAGGTGAACTGTTTAGTGATTCTGTGCGGAGGGAAGTAATTAGTTAAAAGATAAAAGATAGGAAGGAGCCAAATTGTGAAAAACTTTAAATGCCAAACAGGAGAGACCTGGTCTGAATAGGGAGAGGATCTATACTGCTCAGGGGCAGTGGAATGGCTTGAATGAAACTTCCTTTGGAATATCAGTGACAGACTAGGAGAACCCAGGAGTCCTAACTTCCAGCTTCTTTACCCTCTTGAAGCAAAAAAGGAGCATTGTCCTACAGGGAAGAGAAGGGGAAGGGAAAGAGAGGAAAAGGAAGAGAAGGGAAGGAAAACATAATTAAAGATTCTTGGAAGGCCTTGTCTGAATGGGCTGAAGGGATCAAATCACTAAATTATTATTTCCTTTTTCCATTTCCTCTTCTCCTCCACCCGTTACAGCCATTACATTACTTAAGGACCGGGAGCCAGGAGCCTTCATCATTCGGGATAGCCACTCCTTTCGGGGAGCTTATGGCTTGGCCATGAAAGTGGCATCTCCTCCTCCCACAATCCTTCAGCAGAGTAAGAAAGGTAATGAATGTTTTCTCTGAGAATTGTACCATTGGGATGAGGAGGGGGATGATGGTGAGGGCTATGGCAAGAGGGATGAGATTTGCCTGATTCTCTCTGTCCCTGACCTGAGGGTGAGGGGGTACTTACTGGGTGACTGGTGGGAAGGGGTCAAATGGAGCATCTTCTAAATTTGGACAGTCCTACTGCCTCTCCACTCATGTTACACCCAAGTAGGACCCATGCCTCTTCCTCTGTCCATCTCAGAAAGAGGTAAAGGTTATGAGGAGGAGCAAAAGAGCAAAGTCTCAGGTTCAGGGTGGAGAGTAGGAGGGGAACATGGGAAGGGACCAGTAACCCCATCCTGTCCTTCCAGGGGACATGGCCAATGAGCTAGTGAGGCATTTCTTGATTGAGACTAGCCCCAGAGGGGTGAAGCTAAAAGGATGCCCGAATGAACCAAACTTTGGTGAGTTTGCCCATTTAATTTCTCCATGGTTCAGTCTACCCTGCCAGGGAGTTCTTCTAGCAGTCTGCCCTTTAGTCTCTCCTTTTGTAGCCTCTGCCTATTCCTGTATAATTGTATGTAGCCTCTGTGTTATGACTCCTCCCTGTAGCCCCACCCCATTCAGACAGAGGATTCAATAAGAAATGGGTTTATATTTGGGTTAGAGACGTTAGGAAGAACTTCCATGGGGGGAAGTTTAGTTTGTGTCCAAGGAGGACTTGAATATCTTTATTTGGGGAGCCGTTAAAAAGAAGATGGATTTTTACCATCCTGAGGTGGTTAAAATATGTCTGTCCAGGGTCAAGAAGAATGAATGTTTAAATGACCTGAGCCCAGGCCAGGTGATTTGATCATATTCATGGCCATGGACTTTTGAGGAGGTTTCACACACACACAGTTCAGATGAAAGATGACAGAAGTCATTCTACCATTCTTTATCTGAGTGTGACCCCCCTCTCCCTGCTGGCCAACTCCCTCTAATGCTGCTTCCTGGATGTGTCTCTTTCCCTACAGGATGTCTCTCTGCTCTGGTCTACCAGCACTCTATCATCCCATTGGCTCTCCCCTGCAAGCTGGTCATTCCAAACCGAGGTAGGAGCCAGAGACTCGCTCAGCAAGCACACATTGATCCAGTTTTCCCGCAACATCCAGTCATCGTTGCCAGTAGCTGCTCGGGAACACAGGGCCAAGATAGGCTGGGGAAGATAGGCTGCCCTGCCAATACAGGGAAACCTAAGCCTCTTCACCCATCCTCTGCCCAAATAATTTCAGAAAGGCAAAATTGTTTAAAAAGCTCAACTCCATGAGCTCATGCGGTCACTATGCCAGACAGGGTCGAACAACACCGTGGAGCCAAGAGTTTAATGTCAGTCCACAAAATGGGCATCAACCCCAACCACATTTCATGAACTTTTACCTCCCATAGCTCTCCCACCCCTCCTTATTCCCTCTTCCTGTTTCCTGTTGCTCATGGCTTAGAGGTTACCAAAATCTACCTGCAGCAATTCTACTCCATTTTCCCCTGGCCTTGTAACCTGACATCCAAACTTGGACAGTGACAAGGAGGCTTAGTGTACTGTACCGAGTGTCAGATTTTTGATGAGGCCTGCTGCCCAATTTCTTTTGAACACTGGGCCTGGAGAAAGAGATCCTAAGTAGGTTGGGTGGAGATAGAATCTATTTCCCCTGCTACCAGGTCTCTTTCTACTAGCTGAGAAATGTGATGACTCACTCTAGTTCATCAGGGGCTGAGTAGGGTGGGAAAATTGTAGATAATCATTAGAATTATTGGTAATCATACATCTCTAGCATTGTGCTCCATGCTATGAGAAATAGTAGCCTTTTGTAGGGTGCTTTGACAGCAGGGACCATTTTACACAGTGCCTGGCACACAGCAAGTGCTTAATAAATGCACATTGACTCACTGACTCTCAATGGGGAACTAATGTCCAAGAAACAATGAGATACCAATACAAGGCAATGTGCCGTAAGTGCTAAAATGTGTGATGTAGACATAAAGCACCATAGGAGGTCAGAGCAGGGAGAAGAGTCTGGAAGGACTTTTATGAAGGAGGTGGTCCTGAGCCAAGCCTGAAAAGTAGATTCCGGACATAGACCAGCTAGGCACCCACCTAGGGTATGACATCACAGAGTTGGGAGTGGAGGAAAGGGTGCAAGGAAGAACATTTTAAATATAGCTTTTTCTAAGTACATTTATTTTTAAATTCAGAACATTTCATTCTCCATAGCCCAGAGATATTTATGTTGGGACAAATCAGGTTGCATTTGTTACTGTGAAGGCTCAAATGGTAACCCTTGAAGGGCACAGTTTTCAGACCTTATCTTGGCATGTAAATCTGGCTGTATCTTAAGGGATTCCAATAGACCAAGAGGTAGGTTGACAAAGGAAATGCCATTGCTGGTAGAGAATTCATAATGGGGAGTAGTGGAAAAGAAAGTTAGGCAGCCAGGTGGTGAAAGGCCTTGGAAACCAGATGTCAGTACTTGGGATTGATCCTATAGGAAATTATGGGAGGTGTATAAGCAGGAGACTAGCACCATGTTGGAATACTTAATTTGGCAGTGGTATGCAGGATAGTTTGGAAATGGGAGACAGCCTTGGGCAATTGAAGCCATTAAAGATGTGAGAAGGGTTAAGACTAGGGTGGTAAGTCCCACTACTATCCCTGGTGTTGTACCCTAGGTGGGGATGACCTGATCTGAGTTCTGCTTGCTCAAGTTTCACCTGCTTCACGAAAGGCTTTCCAGACTCATCTCTCCTCTCTGACCTTCTACAATACTTTTTGCTGTTACTGTCTAAATAGAGGAAGGAGTTCAGACGGGATGCTTCTCCAGGTTCTTTTTAGCCTTAGGATTCTAGTTTCCAGCTCCAAACTTACATATCAACATGTGTATGGATGTGGGGGAGGGACAGAGAGGAGAGGAAACCCATCATTTCTCCGCATTCCTACATCATATTAATAGGAACATCAGAGGAAGCCCAGGTCTCTGACCCTGGTGCTTAATCTCTCCTTGGGATTCTAGAGCACTGTACTCAACGCTGACCATTTTTATTTCATAAATCAAATGCTTGTGTTCTAATTGATTTGCATAGCTTGTTGAAAAGTCCAGATATAACTTGAATAGCACATATAGCTTAAATACTTATTAAATAATACACTGTGGGATTGAAAATATTATTTCAACAGTTGTTGAGTTGTCCTCTATAAACAGTAATTCAATCACATTGCTATTAAAATAATCGGGTAACATTAATGATGAAATAAATTTAGACACTAAACAAATTGAACTCAGTCACTTTTAATTCAGCAAGGGGCATTGAGCACGAGCAGGTCAAAGGATGGCTAATAAAATGACATGGTTTGGAAAGTGTTTGTTGCAGTTGGGGCTGTGGTCCCTTATCTGTTTCTCTGCATAACTTTCTGTGTTTTTGCCGTAGATCCGACAGATGACACAAAAGATAGCTCATCCGCCAATTCTACCACAGATCTACTGAAACAGGGGGCAGGTGAGTGGTTAGTGACAGTGGGGGCTTCTCACCCTTCTTTGTCTCTGCTTTCCTCATTTTGCCATGCCTGTCACCCCATTTCTGCACTCTATTTCTAGTCCCAACCCTCCTGAATCAACAGCTTCCACCAAATCAGAAAATTACATTTTCGTTGGCAAGGACTGGAATGAAATCTTTCCAGGGGTGGGGAGTTATTTCTTAAAAAAATATTTTGTTGATTTTTTTTTTAAAACATCTCTGTTACTTGCAAATGTCTCTCCTTTGCCATTAGAACCTTCCCTTGTAACAAAGTAATACAATGAAGCAAACCTAACCAACTCATTGGCTATATCTTAAAGTAAATGCCTCATCCTGCTTTTTTAGCCAACCACCTCTCTTCCAAGGGTTAGGCAACATACTTAGGTCCTCTGGAGCTGTGATTGGTCATTGCATTGACCAGAAATCTGATGTTTCAATGTTGTTTTCCCTTAAATTATTGTGGTAACTGTGTAAATTGTTCTCATGGTTCTGCTTATCTCTCCTCTGAATCAGTTCATTCAGATCCTCATATTTGTTATTTCTAATGGTCCAGTCATGTTCCATTACATTTATATAATGTGATTTGTTCAGTCATTCCTGATGGGGTTTCTTTCAGCCTGCAATGTGCTTTTCGTCAATTCTGTTGACATGGAGTCACTCACGGGGCCCCAGGCCATTTCTAAAGCCACAGCTGAGACACTGGCTGCAGACCCAACACCGGCTGCCACTATTGTCCACTTCAAGGTCTCCGCCCAGGGGATCACGTTGACAGACAACCAGAGAAAGTAAGGAATTCCTTCTCTCCAGCCCACTCTTTATGCAGTTTTCCTCACCTCCAACATCTCCAGTTATTGAAGGGTTTTTGGATAAAAGTGGGAAGATGAAATGAACAATACCAGAAAGATGTCCCAGGCCAACCTATGAGCCTTTAACTTGACCTGTCTCTGCCATTTGTTCTTCTCCCCATCAGTGTTGAACATCTTCCCCACTCCATAGCCCCTGCCCCTTTCTTCTCTGTGTCCCAAAGCTCCTGACCCCAGGCTTCTGTGAAGGATTCTATGGTGTGCCTTTCTCCGTCCCAGTTATTTACCAGTGTCCCACTTCACCATGACATGAGGATTTTGAGATGTTACGGAAGGCAGAGGATAGCTCTAGAAGAACACAGAGTAAAAGAGACTGGAAAATAGGGTAAAAGGCCTAACAATCTGCACCCTCATCTATTTATTCTGTCTTTGTGCCTTAGGCTGTTCTTCAGGCGACATTATCCCCTAAACACTGTTACCTTCTGTGACTTGGACCCACAAGAGCGGAAGTAAGTCTCCCATAGACCTCACCTTACCTCCCCACCCCGCACCCACTCACTTAGCTATTAAGCAGAGAAGTGTGTGTATATATGGTTGTATGTTGGTGTATATATGGTTGTATGTTGAGTTATTCTTACCTCAGATGAAGATGCCTGATATTAAAGAGGTAGTATAATTGCTTTAGTAGTATAGTGGATAGAGTGTTGGACCTGGAATCAGGAAGACCTTAGTTCAGATCCTGCCTCCGACATTTACTAGCTGTGGGACCCTGGGCCTGTCTTGGTTTCCTCATCTGTAAAATGGCGATGCTAATAGCTCTTACTTCCATTGGGTTGTTGAGAGGATCAAATGAAATGTTATTTATAAAGATCCCTTCTAGCTCTTAAGTTTGTGATTCTATGATTTTCCTGGGTTGCCGTAAGTCCTGGGTCCTCTCCTAATCATTCAACTGGCTCCTCCCTAACATGCTGAGGAAAGGAACTGGTAAGTCAGCTGTATGCCAGCCTAGGCCATCCTACATAAGACTGCAGTGAACATACACATGATGACTTTAGGGGCCCACTCTGCCCCGGGGAAAGATTTCTGACCCCATACTGGTGGAGTGCCTATGCTTGGCTCCAGTGGAGGCAGAAAACTTGCTTACTCTTGCTTTTTCTTGCCTTAGGTGGACGAAAGCAGAGGGGGGTGTGCCTGCTAAGTAAGTATGGCTTCTTTCCCTCCCCTTTCTTGGGATGTTCCATCTTTGTGCCTCCCAAGATGACACAGGAAGAGGCTTCTGAAATGTTGAGCATGCACAGGAGATTGGGGGAATGGGAGTTAAGGGTCAACAATTGAGTAGAGATCACATAGCCTAGAAGGTAAATTTAGTCAAATTGATCAACAGTTCTTCCTGCCTTCCCTCTCCCCTCCTTCCCCCTACCCCAGCAGCAATCCCTCTTATACTTAAGAGCAGCAGCGACCCTGTGAAGGACAAGTGCTAGATTTAGGCACGTTTGGGGCAGCTGGCATAGTATAATAAATAGATTCCTGGACATGAAGCCAGGAAGATCTAGGTTCAGATTCTAATTCTGACACATTAGATAGGCAAGTGACCTAATCTTTTAGAATCTCAGTTTCCCCATCTTTGCAAACTGGAAAGTATCATGTAAATGTCAGATGTTGCTGTTTTTGGGAGCATTTCCATTTCCATTTCATTTCAACTTGTCCCCAACTTGATTTCTTTTGAACCTGGCCTTGCCATTTTTGCAGGCTCCTATTAATGTTCATGGCTAGGCCAAGACCGCCTAACTCACCAGAACAAGCAGTCAAATTAGAACAGTGAGTTTCAAGAATAGAGATGGGAGGGAACTCCGTGGTAGACATGTTGGTCTCTCTTTTTTTTCCTCCTCTGGGTCACCAAAGTTTTGCAAAATTTTCAGCCTCTCAGATTTTCTGTGATTTTGAAGGTTTTAAGACTCTCAGTAAGCCCTTTCTTATCAATGCCTCCTGGCAAGCTCAGTTAACTTTCACCCTCTAGAATTTGGGGGCCTTTCCTTTCTGACTTAGAAATATTTTATTGTATTAGCTGAACCAAAGGTTCTTAATCATTTTTTGTGGCATGGACCCTCTGGGCTACTGGTGAAGCTTATGGACTCCTCAGAATGTTTTTAAGTGCATAAAATAAAATACATAGAATTACAAGAGAAACTAATTATATTCAAATACAGTTATGAAAATATTCAAAAATAAGTTCATAGACCCTAGGTTAAGAACCTCTGAGTTAGGAGCCAGCTCAAAGAGCTTCCTTTGGAAATCGGGTATTATTAATGGGGTGAGGAGCCAGATAATGAAAGAAGAGCCAGCTCTTCTCTGCTTCTGTGCTGTGGGCCCTCCCTGCTTGTGTCCACCACACTTGGGATCAGCTTCCCTGGTGGATGAAAGGAATTAATTATTGTTGAACTTGGCTGAAGAAGAGGGTGGGGCACTCTGGACTGTGAACATCCGGGGAGGGAGGGTTGTAAGGAGGTGGTGGCTCTGGCTCAGGCACAGGGATGGAAATAAGGCCAGGAGGAACTTGGTTACAGAAGATGGGGGATGGTGCTGAGCACACAGGTCTGGGAGGTCCAGGCATCAGGACCTCCCTGGGCCTTAGGCTCATCTCCCACCCTCCCCTTCCTGCCCTGTTCTTGACATGGGGAGAAGACTATCTCTGCCACCCCCTCCCAGGAGGAATAGGAAGGACAGGACATTTCCTCAGAGACCAAATCCAAGACCAAGAGGAGACATGGTGCAGATCTATCCCTTGATCATATAAGAAAACTGACCCCCCAGCTCCCAGAGTCCCCCAGCCAATAGGGCCACTGCTCCCAAGGGTCTTTGATCCTTGAACCTGGGGGACTGTTCAGCAGCACTTGGGACATGTAGGGCAAAGGGATATGTGAATGTGTTCCTCTGTTCGTGAGCGTGTGTACGATGGAGAGCTTGGCTAATTTTAGCTGTTGTGTTTCAAGTCCCAGAGAGGGGGGTTTTAATTGGAATCTCCAGCTGTTCCGATTTCCCCATCCCTCTCTAATTAGCAACACGCCAACTATGGGACCTCTCAGATCACATTCTGTTCCCCTCTGCTTCCATATTTATAACCTTGTTTTCCAAGGTTTGAATTCCAAGGTGCTGTGGCCTAGTGAGGGCAAAGTGTGGGAGTCTGCCCCTGCCCTTGCCTGATGGGTCCTCAAGCCCTTCACTCAAATCCTGTACACTGTAGGTCATGCAAGGGAACAATGAGAAGTCAAGCCAGCCTGTCCTTTTATTTCCCAGCTTCATCTGGTGCTTGAGGAGGTTGAAGCTTTCAGACTGGCAAACAATGCCATATTTATTTGCTTACAGTGCTGAACTTAAAAGGAGTCCGGCAGGGGAAGGGATGGGAGAGGCTCTTTCATGTACTTCCCCATTTTATCCTTGTTTTCACTGTCTCTCCAACTTCCCTCCCCTCCCCAGGTCTCCCCAAGCCAAGGGGGAAGTGCCCAAAGCATCTACCACTCAATCAGAATCTGTCCCCAGGTCTTAGTTTTTCTTTCTTTCTTTCTTTCTTTCTTTCTTTCTTTCTTTCTTTCTTTCTTTCTTTCTCTCTTTCTTTCTTTCCCTCTTTCTCTCTCTCTTTCTTCCTTCCTTCCTTCCTTCCTTCCTTCCTTCCTTCCTTCCTTCCTTCCTTCCTTCCTTCCTTCCTTCCTTTCTTTCTTTCTTTCTTTCTTTCTTTCTTTCTTTCTTTCTTTCTTTCTTTCTTTCTTTCTTTCTTTCTAAATGGAGGGAAGGTTCTTTAC